CAGCATCCGGAGAGTTGGTGCCGAGCGATGGCACTGGAACCTTTATTGGGTTCGGAGAGAGCGGCATGAAGTGCCGCGTGCAAGGGGCTGTTGCTGATGTGCATAAGCCGTTGATCTCAGCACACAAGTGCCTGGGACATGGAAGGATTGCTGTGCTTGATGCGGATGGCGGCCAGCTAGTGCCGTTGGAATCGAAAGCCGGAAGGGCTATCCAGCGAATACTCACCAAGGCATCGGTATCCGAGACAAAGACTTGGATGCCTGTGTATCAGGAGAGAGGCGTGTACAATTTCTACCTTCGAAGAAAGGTGGACAGAACCACATCCAGCATGAGTGCAGTTGAAGTCCATGCGGACTTGAATGCAAGCTCTGCTGCTGAACGGGAACCTCAGGGTCGGGCCGACCCGCCTGAGGAGCCTATGGTGGCAGAAGAGGAATTAGAAGAAGTTGTTGAGGCCGAAAGGCCTGTCCAGATAAGAGCACCGGAGGAGCCAACTCCGGCTGAGATCGAGGAGCACGAGTCCATGGGGCACGTGCAATACAGAGACTGGTGCAGGCATTGCATCGCCGGGAGAGCGGTTGGTCAACCGCACCGGACAAGGAGTGAGGAGCAAAGGGCAAAGAATGTGTTGCCCACGGTGTCTTTCGACTATGCCTTCATGTCGAGGGGAGTCGAAGAAGACGATGAAAGGCTGCGGCCCATCCTCGTGATGAAGGATGACAAGACGCAAAGCGTCGCAGCAACCTTTGTGGACTCAAAGGGTGCTACTCAGTATGCCGTCAAGTTTGCGGCGAACTTCCTCCGAACCTTAGGGTATCGGAAGGTGGTGTTGAAGTCGGATGGAGAGCATTCCATCATTGCACTGAAGAGTGCGGCGGCCAGAGAGGCCGCAGTTGAAGCGGTGGCTGAAGAATCACCGCCGGGTGATCACCAAGCGAATGGGATGGTAGAGAATGCCATTCGAGAAGTAAAGCGGCAGATCCGAGTGTTGAGATCAGCCTTGGAAGAAAAGATTGGAAAAGTCTTGACGGACGGTGATCCAGTCTTGACGTGGCTGCCAAGACAGGCAGCAGACCTGTTGAATAGGTACAAGAAAGGCACAGACGGGAGAACTGCAGAGACCCGTCGGAGTGGAAAGCAATGGTGAAAACCAGCCATAGCCTTTGGGGAACGACTCTACTTCAAAGAGGTTGGAGAGAGCGTGAGAATCCTCAAGGATGGCAGGTACATAGGGCATCATGGACGCACAGGTTCATTGTTGCTGATGACTTCGGAAGGAGTCAAGAGAGGCGTAGGCTTCAGGAGAATGCCAGAGGCAGATCGTTGGGATCCCAGCCAGTGGGATCAACTGAAGGGCATTCCTTGGGAATTCAATGCCCCAAGGCCAAGTGTCCCGAGACTGGTTGATGAGGACCGCCTGGTGGTTCCACCACCAGTCGAGGCTAGAGTGGCACCGCCACAGAAAAGGAGGATGTACATCAGACGTGAAGATGTGCATAAGTATGGAGCAACCGAGAACTGTCCTGGTTGCAGGTGTATCCTCGAAGATAGGAGGACAACAGTTCCACATACAGAGGGTTGTAGAAACCGAATTGTGGAAGCAATGGAAAAGGATGAGACAGGAGCAGAAAGGATTCAAGCACATGAGAAGAAGCGGAAAGAAGCAAGCACTGAGAAGAAAAGCAAACCAGCGGTCGTTTCGACCGACGATCCTGAGATCACTGCAGGCGATGCCGAAGGCAGACCTGCAGCTTCAGGAGCTGGAGGCAGTACAGATCCAGTTCCTGAGAGTGAACAAGAAAGAGCAGTGTTGAAGAGACAGACCTTGGAAGAACCAAGGACTCTACCGCCTAAGGCGAAACCAAAGACACAGCCACAGAGCGTGAAAAGAACTGGTGAAATGCAGATAGCCAGACAAGCACCAATGGCAAAAGCCAAGACAGAGGCAGCACCAAAAGAAAAGAGACCTGCAGAAGAAACTGTGGAAAACCTCCAAGCGAGAACAGAGGAGCAAGCGGTAGCTGACACCGCGGCTCCTAGTTCATCCTTGGGGACCCACGAGTTGAAAAGTACTGTTTTAACAGCACTCAAGGAGGTCGCATACGAGAACATCAAGACGTTGGTGCAAGAAACATACAAGAAGAACGGCGTTGAGATATCAGCACAGGAAGTAGCAGACATCTCTAGTCTGAGCTGCGAGATGGCAGCTGTGGATATCGCAGAGGTGTATTCACCAAAGCGATTCACCGCACTGGCCGAACAGTTCAAATTAAGGCCAGGCTTTGCAATAGACCTGAGTGAGAAGAAGGCAGATGGAGAGTTTTGGAACCTCAACAAGCCAGCAGATGTTGAGGAGCTTCACAACTTGTTGGAGAAAGACGAACCATTGTTGCTCGCAGGTTCGCCACCATGCAACTTGTTTTCGAGACTGCAATACATCTCATGGTACAAGTTGCCACCAGAAGTTCGAGAGAAGAGAATGAAGGAGGCATTGCATCACCTCCACACGGCGCGTGACGCTTATGAGGTACAGCTTAACGCTGGTAGATACTTTCTACACGAAGCGCCGTGGTCGGCTTCGAGCTGGAATGATGAGAGAGTAGAGCGGATTGCATCAAGAGATGATGTCTACACAGTCCGCGGTCCCATGTGTAAGTGGGAAATGCAAGCCACAGATCGCAGAGGTTTGCAAGGAAACGGCTATGTCAGGAAAGAGACGGGTTGGATGACCAATCATCCAGGACTAGCCGAACTGTTGCAAACAGAGTGCACTAACGAGACAGGAGGTGCACCTTGGCATAGACACATCCACTTCATCGGTGGAATAGCAAGACAGGCTGCACAGTATCCGCCCAAGCTGGTACGTGCAGTACTCAAGTGTTTGAGAGACGAACTGGAATCAAAATCAGAACTTAGTGCAGTTGAGGCACAAAACGCCGGACCAGTGGCAGAAGTTCCACTGATCGATCCACGGTTTGAAGAGATGTTTGTGGACGATGTGAACGGTGGCATTTTGCCGACCGAAGAAGTCAAGAAAGCAAGGCAGAAGGAAATGGATTACCTGCACAAGCAGGGAGTGTACAAGGTTGTACCAATAGAAGAATGTTTCACTGAAACGGGCAGAAAGCCCATTGGCGTCCGATGGATAGATACCAACAAAGGCGATCCGGACAATCCAAACTTCCGGAGTCGCTTGGTAGTCCGAGAGATTAAGGCAGCTAAGAAACCTGAAGAGCAGCTGCCAGCCAATTTGCTTTTTAGCAGCACACCGCCGCTTGAAGCGATGCGGCTGCTGTGTTCGCTCTATGCAACAAAGCAAAGGTCAATCCATGGTAGGAAATTGAAGATGGCATTGTGGGACATCTCAAGAGCCCACTTTTATGGCACTCCAAAGCGGAAGATTTACATCGAGCTGCCAAGTGAAGAGCCGGCAGCCGAGGGAGGCAAGAAGTGTGGATTGCTCGAAAAGAGCATGTATGGCACACAAGATGCTCCGAGTATATGGCAGAGTCATTACTCACAGATCCTGATAGATGCAGGGTACCAGCGTGGTAGATCAAATGCTTCAGTATTCTACCACCCAGTCTTGGATTGTAGAATCATGATCCATGGAGACGATTTCCTAGCTCTCGGGGATCGGCCGGCACTGGCCGAACTGGAGAGTCTTCTGAAGAAGAACTATGAGCTGAAATGTCTCGGAGTGATGGGCGATGAGCCCGGAGATGCACGAGAAGTTCATTTCTTGAACCGTCTGATCCGTTGTGGAACTCAAAACAACGGTGAATCAGCAATATGGATAGAACCAGACAGGAGGCACGTTGACCTCCTGATCCAGAGCCTAGGACTGGAGCATGCCAAAGGCACTGAGACTCCAGACCTCAAGAAATCAGTAGACCAGCAGATGCTAGAGGCGAGAAGCCCAGCATTACCAAAAGAGCAGCAGTCACTATACCGGTCAGCGGTGATGCGAGCAGCTTACCTCTCGCAGGACCGCCCTGACATTGGCCACGCAGTCAAGAACTTGGCGAGGCGAATGGTTCAGCCTACAGAGGCTAGCCTAACGGATCTCAAAAAAAAAATGTGAGGTACTTGATCCGATTCCCTGACATTGGACAAGTGTTTACAAAGCAGACGTTGCCTGAGAAGTTAACTATCCAAGTTGATGCAGATCATGGCGGAGATGCCGTGACAAGACGTTCGACAACAGGAATGTTAGCTGTCTTTGGGAGACACGTGCTCAAACATAGTTCCAACGTTCAGAGCACCATCGCTCTGTCCACAGGAGAATCAGAGTATTATGCGCTTGTCAAAGGAGGTTCGACAGGGTTGGGACTTCAGTCCCTACTGGCAGACTTTGGAATAGAAACCAGAGTCGTAATAGAAAGTGACAGCAATGCTGCAAAAGGGACGGTGAACCGAGTCGGGCTTGGGAAAGCTCGCCACATCCAGACTCGTTATTTGTGGTTGCAAGAACGAGTGGCGGAAGGCCATCTGACAGTCCATCACGTAGCAGGAAAGAAGAACAAGTCAGATGTGCTGACGAAGCCCGTACCGGGAGTCCAGATGAAGCAAACGATGGAAAAATCCGGCTACCTCTACTTGTCAAGTAGGAGTAAAGGCCAACTCAACTTGCTGAAATAGAGCAAGGTCCCTGGCCAAGCTCCACTACCTATTACCTCAAGCTCGACATCTGAGAGCCGGGAACTAGATTCCTTTGCGAGTGTAGTAAACCCACTCTTCAAGGAAGGAGGAGTGAAGACATGTTAGTACTTTATATAACCTCTATGTGCAGTGTGTAGATCCAGGGGTTAGCATGAGCCCGATGTTACTTTTGGCTCAAGCAAAACAAGGAGCGCCGTCGCTCGATATCCTGTTTTGAACTAGATACATATATATATATATTATAACACTATATATATATACATATATACTATATAACACACATATATATATACACACTGTAAATATATTTGTCTCTGTGTTGCAGTGGCCCTGCTAGGCCCTGGCTACACCCGCTGCAAGCAGTACAGGTTGGTTTGTTGATTCAGGGTGTTACATATTGCATCGTATCGTATTAATTCATATTCTTACGCCGCACTGGAAGATCTAGAAAGTAAGAAACGCGGAGGGAGGACAGGAGCCTTTCAGCGAGGTGACGCATTGCAGCGCCTAAGATCCAGACAAAGCCGAGACCCCAGGAACTTTTCCTGCACCTTCCAGGCGGCCTTTCAATATCCAAACGTTGATTACAGGCATATATATATATACATACATATATACACATACATATATAATCAACTCCCAGGCCCAGTTTTTGCAACTTCAGGCCACTTCAGCGAGAAGTGCTTGGCCTTACAGCAGGCAATGATGCTCAAATCCCTTAGCTATTGATCCCAGACTGAGAAAATCAAGTCCTCTAAACCATTTGAAAAAAACGTGACAAAGCATCTCAACGCCTCAGTTTCTGTGGTTGCAGTACCTTTCTTAGGATGTATTGGTTTGTTAATCGGTGGCACTTTCTTTTGAATTCTTGTTCAACCTCCTGCGGGTTTGCACAATCAGCCAGCATTTTTAGCATGATTTCAGGCTTCAGCGTCTCTGTGCAACTGGGGCGGGGTTAGGACGGTCCCAACAGAGACATGGCCTACAATACAAGGTGTAAATGCATTGCACAGTGCATTGCTTGCGTGTTAATCCTATGTTCTATCATTTTCCAACATATCTTCTGTTAAACTTCTATTGTCTTCTTATCAATGTTGTGTTGGACATCATGCTCCCACAACTTCGTACTACTTGTAGTACTGTATATTGTAGTTGTTCCGCCATGTTATGCGTTTGAGCCTTCAGTGATGTGCGGAAATCACCAGAAAGTTGACAATACAGAGGCAGCCGAAAGATTGGCTTTGGTTGAGCCACAGCTGTCACCAGGAAAAGTCGTCTCCTTATTCGACAAATTTCACACACACACAATTATCTCCAGTGACTTTCCTGTTTTTCCAGTGTCAGTCTTCGAAAAACAAGAATTGTTTCTGCTGTCCAAAGGCCATGCCGCCACTATTGAGGACTTGAAAGTCTTCCAATCTTCGGCTCGTTGTTTACATCGCTGACATGGATGTACTGGCATCTGGTCTTGAAAGGAGCTGCAGCGAAAGAGAGAAACCTAGATCAGCGCGGATCCAGAGGTGAAGAGTGTCGGCATGTTAGAGATTCCCTGTATCACATGTCTATGCGTGCTAATAGCACGTTGCGAACCCAAAGTGGCCGTACTTGTACAGGAACGCATCTTATTGAGTAACGAACAAATGGAAATGGAACAAACATTTCCAGTGAACGTGGAGTTAATGATTGCAACATATTGCAACACCAAGAACGTGTCGCCGACCCTTGTTACAAATGAGGGCACCTGACCATGTGCTTAACTTTACCAGATTGATTTGCAAGACATGCAATGTTTTGTGAATACATGGGTGTTGGGAGAGTTTTGACTTGAGAGTGTTTTGCATAGTGCAAAAGCATTTTACTTCTTAGCAACAAAGATCCAGTACCAAGAGTTTGGGACCATCAAATGACGAGGCATGCTTTGAAGATACAGGACAAATTGCAAACAATCCATCTTCATTTTGCCAACCGAATGCTGTCCAAGGGCCATGATCAATTTCATTAGCATTCCATTTGGAACCAGAACAAGAAACGCTTTCCGGCTTTCCCCGAAAGAAGTCGCTGCATATTAGCACCTCGAGTCAAGAACTGATGAGTTGCAAGGTGACTAGCTGCAATCCTTGGCTCGGCACAAGCTGCCAATGTGTCATGACCTAGCCGATCTGTTCTCCTTGCCTCCCTGGAGCATGCCATGTAGAAACCTAGGAGCTTGCTGAGGATGTCTTCAGGCAGAATCTCAGTCCAAATTGATTCACGCTTTATTTTGAATGTCATTTGAAGTTGCAGATGCTTTGATAGCCAAAGACTCTGGATTCATTTCGCATTGTAGTTTGCTAACGCAGTGCCGTTATGTGCAAGTGCTACATTGGCTGTTAGGTCGCAACAGTGGTGTGGACTGCGCGAGCAGCACCAGCAGCAGCACTTCCACAAGTTCAGACTCTGAATCCCAATCTGAGGATGGGTTTGACGCCAGATGACTTTGCTGCTTAATCTGCTTACATGTCATGATGTGTTGGGGAAACTTGAACTCAGCCCACGTGTAGAGAATGTAGAGATGTGTTGGCGACTGTTTCTGTGCGGTTGAAACAGAAACTGTTTCCTCCAAGGTGATAACGCCGGATAGGATAGCCATCCTTTGTGAAAGCCGCTGAAAGCCGTTTTGACACGTTTTGACAATGGGAGTCCAGACCTTTCTGAAAGGGCACTTGCCCTCCAGGAGGATGAAGCAAACAACGAGGCGTGATACAATATATAATGAATGTATAAACTTAAAATACGCAGTTGATGATCAGTTGATGTATGTGCGACAGTATAACTCAATAGTTGGATTGTATACCATTGGGGGATGGCCATCGGCGAAAAGGGATTTACATACTTATCAGGATTCCAGTTATGGGATGGATGACCATAGGCCATGTACATCCATGTACCATGTTTTGAGCCTGGCTCATACTATATCTATGTGTTCTTGTATGGTTATGTAATATAATTACGTATATTTACAATTGTTTACAATTATTTACACACACTTGCTCAGAAAATTCTTATCGAATTACTGTTGTGGAGTGCATCGGTCGTGCACAAACAATCCCTTAAAGTCTGACAGGTGAGAGTTGGATGACATGGCAGGAAAACCAGTAAAGAAGATTGCTTTCTTTGTCCTTGCAAAAACAACTGTTCCATCTGACGAAGTCGGCAGTAATTCAGATTGCGAAAACCGTACAATATAATGAACCTGTTGACATTGAAGTTCTGAGGAAGGTCCTGATGCAACTGAAACACTGAACAACGACATGCCGGTTCTTGGCTTAGCCGGTTGCCATTGACGGGAAAATAAATTGGTGTTGCAGGTACGTCACCAGGCGTCCCTGGTGATATCCTAGGATCATATGAGGAGCTTCGTTGGATGGAGCCTCATATGTCCTCTCCATCCCCCTGCTTAATAAAGGAAGTTTAGAAGTTTTACATCTTTTCAGATGGTCCACACACACACACACACGCCTCGCTGCCGCGAGGCTGTTTTGGCAACTGAGGTCCCGACAATGAGATGAAAATGAAGAAGAAGGGAAATGAGAATGAGGTGAAGATGACAATGAGATGAAAGTTACTTAACCAGGACGCAAAGAGGGGAACGCAAAAGAAGAGGGAAAGAGCAGACACCAACACATGAAACCTAGCCCAAAACGGGCAACCCTGAAAAGGCAAGGGAAAAGAAAAGCGGAGGCCGACGGAAAACGGACAAAGACCAGCGGAGGAGGGGGAAGACGGAAGCGCCTGAACCAACCTGCCGCGGCGAAAACCTACAATACAACAACCTCAGCACGCGACGGGCCAAACCTACCTGGAGAGAGGAGAACGCAAGAACACATGAAATAGGGGCCCATGGGGAACTAGTTATTGACATGATGCATCCACAACGCATGCAGTATTCGTGATAAGGCTCAAAGGCCCTCGGCTGTCAAGTCACAACCCTCTGGACGGCTTACGTGTTCAACCCCTGAATTACGTGCACAATTGAACCTCACCAACGACCATCAAAAGAAAGAAAACCACACCTAAAGCATGTCCTGTAGCCTCACCTGATCATGAGCATGATGCATACTGCTGAGCGTTCTCTCGAGCAACATTGAAAAACGGATGTTGACGTGGCTGCCAGCTATGAAGAACGGTAAAAAAGGGAGTCCCCGAGACAGCGGGAAGCTGTTCAACACTCACTCGACCGACATGTGAAACAATGAAAAATGGCCAGCTGTTCACTTTACTTAGACGAATTACTAATTCAAAAGTGTAAATTCAGACATCGATTTACTGTCAATTGTTAGCCTGGAAAGGCTTTCCCCGAAGGGTTCCTGCCAACTTGACGTATACAGCAGGAATGACACACTTGCTCAGAAAATTCTTATCGAATTACTGTTGTGGAGTGCATCGGTCGTGCACAAACAATCCCTTAAAGTCTGACAGGTGAGAGTTGGATGACATGGCAGGAAAACCAGTAAAGAAGATTGCTTTCTTTGTCCTTGCAAAAACAACTGTTCCATCTGACGAAGTCGGCAGTAATTCAGATTGCGAAAACCGTACAATATAATGAACCTGTTGACATTGAAGTTCTGAGGAAGGTCCTGATGCAACTGAAACACTGAACAACGACATGCCGGTTCTTGGCTTAGCCGGTTGCCATTGACGGGAAAATAAATTGGTGTTGCAGGTACGTCACCAGGCGTCCCTGGTGATATCCTAGGATCATATGAGGAGCTTCGTTGGATGGAGCCTCATATGTCCTCTCCATCCCCCTGCTTAATAAAGGAAGTTTAGAAGTTTTACATCTTTTCAGATGGTCCACACACACACATACATATATATATATATCTATATATATATATATAGGTAAGTATATATATACTCTCTCCCTCTCTCTATATATATATATATTGCCTTGCTATGTTTTATCACCTCTTGCGGCCTCCATTGTTTGTTTTCTTCGGTCCCAAACCTGGGTCGCTGAATCAATTGAGTTGTCCACAGCAGATCACAGCACAAAACAAGCTGGAAGCTTATGCAGGAATGCGGTAGGTCCGGTAGGTCCGGTAGGTCCGGTAGGTCCGGTAGGTCCGGTAGGTAGGTCTGCTACTTTGCACTTATCAACTGAAAGGAATTTAACTCGTGTGAGTTGGTGTGAGCCCCAGAGTCTTCCTCCTGGAATCTAGACGGCCATATTGCCGGTGCCATTGCCAGGTTATGTACACTGAGCGCAAGAGGCCACTTCAGCTTCAGTCGTACATGCCTGCAAGCCGCCGCAAGCTCCAACAGTCCAATATGGGACCCCGTATCAATCAACCAGCAGACGGAATTGACACAAGGAAGCCTTTGCAAGATTTGCCTCGAGCAACTAGCAAGTTGCGGGGAGTGCAGCAAGTTGCGGGAATGCTGAGAAATGGTGAGGAAGGACTGCAAAACTTCGTGCAGGAAAATTGGAAATGTTGGAGCTGTCAACCTCAATGAGCGGACGCCTCAGCACGGTGCAGAGTGTGTGTTTTTAGTGCTACGGAAGCAGGCAACTCACAGCTAAAGCCTCGGAATCTTAAGTTTTTTTTGTGACCATTTGGAGCCCCATATTGGTTACTACCAATGTCCTATTGACAGGGATGTCAATCCTTGAAGGGTAGCTGAATAGTATGTCAGCTGTTCATGTTGAATTCTGAAGGCAAAGTGTGCTGAAGGATGGGTACTTGCTGCCAGCCATTGACGGTGAATAGCCTAGTGGTGTAGACACTGTTAGTAGCAGCCGAAACCTTTACAGGTTTTTCAGCAAGGTCGGAAAACTGTTCAGCTGGAGTCGAGCTTCTTTTTCAAAATGTCTGAAATGGCTAGTGCTGCAAGGCAGGTGTTTGAAACCGCAACCGTTTCTGCACGGCCAGAGCTGCAAACCCCTTGTGTTGATTAAAAAGAGGCACAGAGGCAAGCCAAACGTTCGTTTGCCGTTCCGAAATTCAGAATGGGACCAAGGTGGCCACTCGGATTCTGAACCAGAGCCCGAAGAAGCAACGAAGGCAGGCTATGCAAATCACTGCCGAGTCTGTTGAGATGGCTCACTCGATGAGGATTGCTAGCCACATCTGGCAGTCCGAAGAGCAACATGAGATCACCAAAATTTTCGGCTACCTTGGACAGAGGTGGAATCTCCGAAAGAAGAGGGCGATGATCGACCTTTGCAGTCAGTTTGAATCCCAGCCAGCATCATCTCCCCAGCTGGAATCTTGAAGGTTCCCATGCAATTCTTCTCAGATCTTCTCAGGCTGTTTCACAGCGTCGTTTGGCAATGGTGCTGCAAGAGACAGAAAACAAACAGCAGGGAGCTTGGATGAGCTTGGTATGACTCAGTGACTCTCTGTGTGCCCGATTTTGCAAGACAAGACTGATTGCAGTTCATAGCACACATTGGCAATGCACCGGCTGAGATCGGCTGAGTTTCAGTTCGTCTTACCTGCTGTAGTTTCTGAGCTTGGCTCGGAATGTCATTGAGTTGACAACGAACCAAATCAGGCAGCCTCAAAATGAAGACCAAGCTCAGAAAGGAACTTCAAAGGATCCTGCGACAATCTGAGTTCTATAAAATCTGATCTGGTTCCATTGCAAACTCGATTGAAAGATTCGACTGTCATGAGGCCGCAGCCTTTCGGCTAGCCTGGGAGGAAGACGAGAAGTTCCCAATCTTTGCTGTCTTCCTGGCCAACTTGGGACAGCACTGAAACATTTTGAAGCCATGCAAGAAATAAGCATGAAACATGTCGGAATAAATGGTAGCTTAATCTGGTTCCTTACACTTTAAGATAGTTTTATTTCGATTCCTGATTCAAGTTTACACATGCATGGCTTGTATTCTGGACTGATATGGACTCATGGACTTTGGAAAGTTTCAGTTCAGGTGCAAGCATCCTCAGATCCAGTCCTGCTCGAGAAGGCTTGCACCCTTGTTTCCCACGCTGTGATTGTCTCGGTGTTAGAAACACAGGCGATCATGCACTACAGATCCCTACCACAAGCAGAGTTGCAGACTTAGTTGACTCCGGCATCAAAATTGTCTCCACTCTCCGCTCAGTGGTTGAACATGTTGAAATAATTTTAATTTGAAATATAATGACATATTTTGAAACGCAATTTATATTATTGAATCGGCTAACAGCGCGTTGCTGTGAATCTACATCGTGCATTGTCATTGTATGTCGCGGTGAATACCAATGCCATGAGGTCACGGCAGTACCACTGCCTCGTGAACCTGGCATGCTGCTTGATGACATTAAACAGACACAGACAGGCCAAGACTCTGCTTGAGCAGGCGGGATTTCCTCGATTTCAGGGATTTTGGATGACTTTGGTATTTTTTTTGGCAACTTCGGATTCCTTGGATCTTGTTATACTACTGTTATATCCTGTTACATTCTTCCAAAGACTTGGGGGCCATCACAAGGATAAATGAAGTGTGAGGCACAACTTTCCAGATATTTCCCAGACTTTCAAGGAGCATGTTGAAACGCTGACACCGCGGATTAGAGCGGACCAGAGGTTTGTCCAGAACCGACAGGCAGCGGGGCTTCAGCCTGCCCGAGCCTCCGCCCAGCTCGATCTGATCCACTGCTGCCTCCGAATCCGACATCGATCTGCAGCGCTTCAAGCCATCGGTCAGGACCCGGCAAATAGTTGCGAAGAATGTGACACGAATTGACATAATGTGTGACGAAATGTGACAATTCTCCACAATGGACACGCTGGACGTCAAGCCAGCAGACCAACCCAGACCAATGGCTGGACAATCTTTTGCTTCGAGTGACGGGTTCTCACCCGCTGAAGAGCTCGAGGGTTATCAGCCCATGTCCTTGATCGGGGCCTGTAGGTCTCACAAGCTGTTGGAGATACATTCTGTGAGTCTTAAAATGTGATACAAATGTTAATGGGAATGTTAATGGGACAAGTTTCAGCCACTTTTTTTTTGGATCTTAAGTCGTTTATCTATGTTTATCTATCTTCTTTGCATCTCATTTCCTCTAATGTTCCCAAGCTGTCCTGGATTGGCCTTTTGTGTGGGACGGGAAGTTGCCTGGGTGCCAGGCACTTCGAAATGCTGAGGACACTTCGTGGGAAATCCACGGAAATCCATTCCGAGGCGAGTTTCATGGCAATTCTGAGTGATGTCCATTAATCAACAGGATCTAACTGCAGAAGATCACCGCCTGCTGTTATCGACCAGAAAGGCCTGCTGACTGTTTTGCATTTGTCAAGGTCCTCCAACCCGTTGTAAAACTTCCATGGAACTGCACAGGATTCATTGCCGGGATATTTTGTGGCCTCAAGATGCCTCAAGTGGCTCCGATTTTTATGCAGTCCAGGAACTCAACGCAATCATGTCCAAATCTACAGACAAGAGCCTGGAGCTTGTGGAACTTGTTTGATCGTTGGATGCCTTTGGTATCCTTTGGTCAAGTTTTCCAGCCCATATCTGCTGCCGCATTGGCACAGAGTGTTCCAGTTTCCTTTACGAAGATCATTCCACCGAAATCATTCGGCATCACCCTGATCCCTGCTGCAAAGTATGTTGAAGTATTTTGAGATATTTTGAGTGGGTACGCTGGTAGGACAAAAGTTGCGCTTGTTGAGTTTGGTTCTTGTGTTTCTTCCTTTGCACACCCTTTCCCCTTAGAATCCTAGCATGGAGCTTTGTTGTACGGGTCGCATTTCCACCCTCCAAAAGCTCTAAAATCTTACTGTATAGATTAAAAGCAGGTGATAATTCCCACACCTGCCGCACAAAACGGACTCAGAAATGTGATCCGCGGTTGACCGACATGGACGTTTTGTAAAGCTCTGAAGCAGCATAAACTTTGTTCATATACTACTATACAAGTATATAATAGTATATATATATTATATATATTTACATGCACAATTCTATACAATTATAATATATCTATACCTAGCGCATCAAGAACCCACATTTTTTTTCCAAAAACCATTTTTTCTTCACTTATGAAAGAAAACGTTTTTTCTCCAATTGTGTTGTTCTTTACTAGGGAAAAAACCTACTCTGAGTACTTTTTTCTCACACTTGGTGTCATGACATCTCATGATCCGTTCCCTTAGAGGATTCAAACCCCTTTATTGATACTGGTTGGATCTATCCCTCACAGTACCCTCCATCTTGATTATACTTCCACCCCGCTGGCTTTGGCTGGCAGCTCTCACAAGAAAGGACCCGATGCTCTAGGAACATGTCGGACAGCATTAGTTGTGATCACAGTCAATCTGGAGTCGTTGGAGGACTTGTTCCCACAAGAGCCACCCGAGCCACCTCTAGAAGCTTAAATTTGAAACATGGTTGTAATTTTTTCCATTGGGGAAAAAATGATTCTGGATTGCCAAAATGCAACAAAGTCGAGCAAACGTATGGAACAAATGAACAAAATCATCAAAAACCAATCGAAAACACATTTTTGAGCCATTTTGAGCGACAATTTTAGGGCCCGTATCCAAAGAATGCCAAAAACCAATATTTTGCCCGTATTAAGCCGTCCTAAACCCATATTTATCCCGTACTAAACCCATATTCTGCTACAATAAAAAAAAACAGTTTTTGGGAACCCATATTTAAACCGTATTAAACCCATAATTAACCCATACTAACCCGTACTCAAAAATGTTTTTTTTTGCCTCTGGGAATGGACGGCTGCGACATCGAGTTTTGAGGCTCCGCTTGTCGTTTTGCAAGATGGAACCGGTAATTGCCAAATCCAGAGAAAAAAACAACAGCGCAGATTGTCAGAGCTATTGTCAATTTGCTGGGTTCACGGAAAAGCTGACTTTTGAAATGCCATGCGTACCCATAGTGACTTGTTGACTACCTCCAGTCCATCTGAAGGGAAAGTTCGCAGCATAGGAGGTAAATGCAGCCGGTGGAGAATGCGCGCATCGTGTGTGATAACGTTTGCTTTGGTTTCGATGGTGTGTTCCGTCCGACAGATTTCGGAACTTGTCAGTATGAAGTTGCTACATGTGGTGAAGCTGAAATTTGATACAAGTTCACCCGATTTGGCTAAATTTGTGCAAGCCCAACAAAAAACAAAATATGGGTTCTTTACAAAAACCCGTTTTTTCTCGAAACAACTAGTTTTTTTGACTGGGTCATACTGGGCCTACATTTGTTTTTGGTCTTTGAAGCTCTTGGTGTGTATATATATACACACAGAAAAATACTGTTATATACAAGGTATATACACGCACATATACTTAATATACATATGTCATATATATATATACATATATGTATATGATATATGTATATTAAGTATATATGTGTGTATATTGTATATATATACATATATATATATATATACATGTACAGGATATTGTAAAAATGTGCATGCCTGTTCTAAATCTCCTCAATCATTGTCGAACTGAAGGCTCAGGCCAGGGGCGCTCCGGCCGCAAGGCAGATTCGGTCAGGAGCCTTGCAAAGTGGAGCATTCTCTTGGAGCCATAAATATAACAAGGGCAATATCTCAACATCTCTCAAGTCACATAATGTCACACCCTCCTCAGAACATTTGAGCCACAAGCCGTGATGTAAAACCTGTTAAAGAGCAACTGCTTGGTGCTCTATCAGTCTTCCTTGTGCGCACTCTATAGAGAGTTGAAAGCTTCAAAAACTTCAACAACCCTTTCACTGTGACCTTGGCCTGGAATGATGGGTGGGCCTGAACAAATTGACCGTCGGCTTTCCATTTAAGCAGCGACCACCTGTCGCAGGAGGCGCGTGACAGCCCGGTACCAGTCGGAACCTCGGTGAGATGCGGTGAGATGCAGGGTCGCACTTTTAGCAGTCCGTTTTCCTCCATTTTCTTCCATCTTTACGCTCAGGGTATTCACTCGCTTAGAGGCCGGTGTACTTGCACAAAAGATACTATTGAATAATATTGAATATCCAACTTTGCAGATCTTTGCGGAGTGTTTTCTGACGTACAATTGAAATAAATCACCTACAATCATCTACATTCACATTGCAGATCTTTGCAGCTACCTGTCTAGAGTCTAAAGAGGCCTGGCAGATGCGAAAGGAATTGCTCGCATTGCGCAGCAGCACAGAGGCGGCAGAGGACTGACCTTTAGATAAAGTTTAAAAGCTGCGTCCCAACCTGCGTGGCCTTGCAATATAATATTATATAATATTAAGATGTTGATCGAAATTAATAAATTACAGCTATCTTTACTCATGTTGTATTATTGTTGGAACAATTGAACTTTAACGGCTGAGTCGTGCAAATAGGCAGTGAACGGGATTTGCGTCATCATCAGGGAAAAAGAATTTAGAGATACTATGTATCAAGCTGGTTTAATACGGCAAATGCCTGGAGTTTGCCCACGGTCTCAACAACTACGTACTTATTCTTTCCCAATGCTTAAATTCGCGCACGGGCCCACAGTGTTTGGGCTTCCAAAACAAAAAACCCTGAAACCCCAAACCCTAGCTACCACCCTAAAAGCTTAAACATCAGAAAAACCCTAAAGCCCAGCAAAATTGACGCTGCATACGACCCTGTGTATGTTTCATGTGGAATTCAGAAGGGATGCCGGTACATGACATGGTCTGACTTTGCGTGTCGTTTCGTTCTGTGATTAAAAACACCATGCGTATCGGTAGGTTCAACATCAGGTCGCTAAACAAATTTTGCTTCCGGCAGCATTCAGAAAACCACAAATTTATTCAAAGTTAGAGATAAACAGGTTGCCAGTTCATCATGGTTCTCGGAGGTATCGCTAATGGTCTTTTTCTCTTTTAACTCAAAAGGATGATCACAATCTCAACGATTCCCTCATTAAGGTTTCATCCGGCAAGATGCTTTTATGCTTTGGGTGTAGATTGGATTTCACAGAACCGGGAGTCAGGCTCAGGCTTTTTCCAAGGGGAAGTGAAATGCGTTCTTGCGGAGAATCGATTTGCGAATGCACTTTGGTGTGCCTACCACATGCCATTTCTATCCTTTTTGCCAGGACCTAAAGCCTCCTTGGCGACGACACCACATATACAGCAAAGAGCTGAGCACAAAAAGCGCTGAAAGACTCTGCAGCGCCTGTGATGTGCTTCTGCAATCTTCTGCAAAAATCTACAAAACTGTTTGTTTTGCAACTTGCAGTGCTTCAGGTGAGGACTCAGAACAGGCAATCTACAGCAAGAAAGTCGGACACTCAGGGCAACAGACACAAAATGGCTGCAATCACTGCAGTCCTTTACCCCGGACTGGGAGACTGAAGGTCACCCTGTTTGTTTCCCACGCTTTGCTTGAACTAGTCCATGTATGTCCATGTGACTACTCATAAACGAGCCAAAACTGCTGGCGTTTGTTTGGCTTGTGCCACTGCCAAATCTTTCCAAGGCACGGTGGCAGCCTTTGACACCGGAAGCCTGAAGCATAGCTGAAAAGGGTGGAACAATTTGTGGAAGATGATATTCACATTGATTCAAGTTGATTCGATGATTGAGACACATGAAACTAGTGATGTCACACAGACCGGACCAACGTCCTGATATAAGTTTCATGGCAGGCTCTCCAGAATCTTCGCGAAGCCTGCAGCAAGGTGGACAAATACAGAGAGGCTTGGACAGTTTCGCTTTGAGCAACCGCACTTGTGCTGCCTTTGATTGGACATGTACAAAAACTGAATAATAGATGGATACATCATGATATGAACTATATATATATTTTTAAGGTCCACATCATACACATTGTCTTGCAGTCTTTGGTTGTTGCTTGCCAAGTGCCTGAGGCAAAGGATCTGGAACAGGAGTCAGAAGATTCTTTTGTTCTTGCCCCGACCTGAGAAATGGTGCGTTTTAGCAGAACTGTTGTGGATCCAATGCACCTTTCTCTCTGCCTTTCTCTTGTCTGAGAGAGACAGAGACAGAGACAGAGGCAGAGGCAGAGACAGACATAGAGACAGAGACTAGACGCGCTCACTGAGGAAGACACTGACAGCGAATCCGACGAGGACTGACACAAGCGGGAGAACTGCTTCAACTCGTTCCTTTGGGCAGTCCTTTTTCGACTTTGGTCTCTTTCATCAAGTGTCCCACAAACTTACTCTTGCAACCAATCTTTGTTTTGGTTGGTGGATGTAAGACTGTTGACTGCTCTTTCTTTCTCGAAGGGGGAGGAGACCAACATGAAGCTTTTGAGATACAAGGCACCGAGCGGCCTTCGAATGGGAAGCGTAACTTGTGGCGCTGAAAATAGCAAAGCAATTAGTCGCATCCAGAAGTCCAAAGCCCTTTTGTGGCATGCCTGCGATTGCCCATAGTGCCATAGAGTCTATCCTTGATAGGCCGCACGGCGAGCATACGAGTGCATCAAGAACCTGCTGCCTGACAGCAACATTGGACATGTTGAGCATGATCGTTGGATATCAAAGGCAAATTTGGGCAATGTGCAAAATTCACTTCTTATTGCCTATTGTACCTGCGTGAGGCCTTGCATGCCAGGTACTCAGGAAGTGCTGGCGAGTGCGCTACTGGAGGTCTACGATCTTTCAAGCATGCTGAAATTAATTCAACACTAAAGTGGCTGGATCCCGATGAATCACTTTCCGAGTCCCTCTTTGTTTTGTTCAAGCATTGCAAAATTTGACAAAGACGGCCGAGGCAGGCTTTGGCAGAGGAAAAGGCGATAGCTTTGCTCCAAGCAGGAGAGATCTTGGACTTTGAAGCTGACTGTAAAGACCCCAGACTGAGATGAACAAGGACAGGCAAATGTGCATGGTATATATGGGATGTATATCATATCGTGAATCATGTCATTGCCGCGCGAAACCATATCAATAAATTGCCATGCCACCGTGTACCATATAGTACCCTACCATACCCTACCAATAAACAGATCTGCGTGTGAACAATCGCGTCTATAGAGATTGGCAGACACTCGGAACGTTATTTGTAAATTGGAAGCAACTCGAGCAAACAATTTCGAACACCAAAGGTCTTGTTTAAGCCCCACACTCAGAACATCAGAATGGTAAAAATGGTACAAATCAATACAAATCACATCATACTTAGGCAACCTTAGGCATCAAGGGTAAATCAACCAAATCCTTGTCAGGATGAGCTAGTCACAGCTAGTCCCCTCTGTGACCCCATACTTAGAAAATTATTTTCTGAGCGATTTCGATGCGTGATATGTTTGCTACATTGCTGTAAATACGTTGTGCAATTATGTGTAATTATACGTATACATGTATGTAACGTATGTATACTCTATAAGTCATATCTATATACATACACAGTGTCACATATACACAAATATTTAGTATACATACATCTATCCACATATTTGCGCAGAAGATACAGGTATAGATACAGTAATGTGCAAAAGCGTCCCAAGCATTTTTGAAGGATGCTTCACAAACATGAATAGGTCAGCGGGGTGAAAACCGCGCTAGCAATACAAGTACTGTATATACATAGTTATATATATACATACAATGTTATGTAATTAGGTGATGTACAAATTGCGTTTGAATTTTCCAGTACGTGCTTTTGTACGTCCTGGAGAACACACACACACGAGCAAGTACATATGCAAACCCTTTGCAGCCTTCTTTCAGCTGAGCTCATCCTGGGTGGGTATCGTATGGGTGCAACAGCACGTCTTTGCACTGAGGTCAAATCTTTGAAGAGGGCGACCCCGCGCCAAAGACTTGGTATCACCAAGCCATGCATTCGAAATGAATTCGGTGTGAGAAGGAAACGACTCCCATTGAGGCAGACGAACCAGAGCCAACCAGAGTGCTTCTTTTGATACATGTTGAGTCCTACCCAATTTGCGTGCAACCAATTTACAGTCATCTGAACATCTATTCGCGAAGAAATTCCCACCTTAAGGTTGGATGTCTACGTTATTGTGAACGGGTCTGTCTCGATCAGGGCCATCACCTTACTGCAGAAGTACATACTTGGATTCCTATGCCTTCAAGTTGGATTCATATGTTGACACATGGTCAGGTGCTAATGCCTGAGCTGGCAGCTGCCCCTATCCCTGCTGGTATGCTCAGACTCATTTGATGCTCGTTGGTGACGCTTATGTTTGGATTTTTGTGATGCGCATTGATTGTGTGGAAACACACTATGTTTGCCTAGTTTGCCCTCTGGACGTTTGCGTGGCTAGTCCGCTAGTCACTGAGGTCCAGTCGCTCTATGACGGACAGGTCTTTGGTGATGCAAAGGCAGGACTGGAAAATCTCTCCTCCACAAATGTCCACAAGAATGTGCTTCAAGAATTCGCTCATTTCTTAATATGTCATGATT